TTTACATTCTGTGGAGACAGAAGTTAACAGAAAAAGACATAAATCAATACATGTAAGGCATACATTGGTTTGGCCCAGAAAGGTGGAACATCTCGATGAGTGGGGTAGGGTGGGGAGCTTATAGGTCACAGGTGGATTCAAAGGTGTCGGCAATCGGCTGAAAGAGTTAAGCCCTTCTGAAGAGTTGAAGTCAGCTTGAATTAAGGTAAGGTAGATGGAGGTGGGTGGGGGCGGTTGTGGAAGGCAAGCCTCCAGGTAGCAGCCTTCAGAGAACAGACATCAAGAATAGAATGTCTCTTACCAGACTTTAGAAAGGTGTCAGACTAGTAAGGGAAGGAAATTCTCTACAGAAAGCAATGTCCCCCTCAAGAGCCAGCTTTGCAGAGCCTTTTAGGAACATGTCAAGGAAATACACATAGGGATAAAAAGCTTTCATTTCCTTCAGGGCTTGTTATCTGCCATGTGGTGCTACGCCAGAGTCAGGCTACAATTCGGTACCTTATTGCTAAAGAGGGGCGATTTGTCTGTCTTGAGAGCTGTTGTCATGTGAATGCTGGTCCCTGGTCAGCTGTGTCTAAACCCCAAAGCAAGAGGCGTAATGAGCGTGTCTGACCCTTCCCTTCCCGTTGTGACCCGACCTAGTCTTTGAGGCTTCTTTGGGATCCCTTTGCCCATGAGAGGGATCCGTTCAGTCTGGTAGGAAGCTTAGAATTTCATTGTGGGTTTACAATCCTGACCCCAAAATGTGGAAGAATTCCTTTTTTTGCGTTGAAATAAGAGTTTCCCAGGCCATACGATAGAAAATGATCAGCTGTAAATTCTTTCTATCTTTGGTCGGTTAGGATCTCCTTATCCCCCCGAGACTCTCTCTTGGCTCACTGCAACCTCCGCCTCCCGGGTTCAAGTGATTCTCCTGCCTCAGCCTCCCAGGTAGCTGGGATCACAGGCACACGTCACTATGCCCAGCTAATATTTGTATTTTTAGTAGAAATGGGATTTCACCACATTGGCCACGATGATATTGATCTCCTGACCTCGTGATCTGCCCACCTCAGCCTCCCAAAGTGCTCGGATTACAGGTGTGGGCCACTGTGCCCAGCCTTTTTTCTAATTTTTAAAAAACGTTTTAAATTACTATTTATGTAGACAGGGTCTTGCTATGTTGCCCAGGCTGGTTTCCCAAAGTGCTGGGATTATAGGCGGAAGACACCACACCCACCTCTTTCCCGTCTTCTTTTTTTTTTTTTTTTTTTTTTTGAGACGGAGTTTCGCTCTTGTTACCCAGGCTAGAGTGCAATGGCGCAATCTCGGCTCACCGCAGCCTCCGCCTCCTGGGTTCAGGCAATTCTCCTGCCTCAGCCTCCTGAGTAGCTGGGATTACAGGCACGCGCCACCACGCCCAGCTAATTTTTCGTATTTTTAGTAGAGACGGGGTTTCACCATGTTGACCAGGATGGTCTCGATCTCTCGACCTCGTGATCCACCCGCCTCAGCCTCCCAAAGTGCTGGGATTACAGGCTTGAGCCACCGCGCCCGGCCTCCCGTCTTCTTAAACAGCACTTTCCCCCTTCCTCCTGGGGCCTCCTGAGCGCAGGCCTCTTCCTCGGACTGGCCTCCCACTCACCTGCCTCCACCATGCCAGGCCCTCAGGCAGCGTCACCCTGGCATCTGCTCTGCTCTTGGTGAGACTGGGCAAGTGAGAGGTGGACGGGCTTTCGTGTGGATCAGCTTTGGTGATGAGACAGCCACCTCCCGCAGCGTGCACAGCCTCGGCACTCCCCGCCTCTCCGGGAGGCGTCTGGGTGGTTCTCAGGCCTGTCCGAAAACTCTTCCCTTCCCCAGGCGGCTGGAGAACCCTCTCCCTTGAAAAGACCGCTGCTGTCGGCAACAGGTGGATCCAGGATGGCTGCAGCCGGCGCCAGCCACGTTCTCTCCAGGAAGTAAAGACGTCACCTCTGTAACCTCGTCCATCACGGCAGATGGCACCGCAAGTCCTCCGGGCCCCTCATTTCCTTTCCCTTGTCTTCCGGCTGCCACCTGCCCCACCCCATGTATACCTAAAAAGAAGGCAAGGCTTAGAGAAGGAGGTGGGTGAGGCCGCAGGGGGAGAGTCTGACAGCTGTGTGTTGCTGACCCTGGGGCCCGCAGCCCTGCACCGAGGCCGCACCCCTGCAGGGCAGGCTACACACTTGCACAGAGGCTGAATCCCTGCATGGAGGCCGCACCCCTGCACTGAGGCCACACTCTTGCACAGAGGCGGAATCCCTGTATGGAGGCCTCACCCCTGCACTGAGGCCACACCCCTGCACTGAGGCCACATCCCTGCACTGAGGCCACACTCTTGCACAGAGGCGGAATCCCTGTATGGAGGCCTCACCCCTGCACTGAGGCCACACCCCTGCACTGAGGCCACATCCCTGCACTGAGGCCGCACCCCTGCACTGAGGCCGCACCCCTGCACTGAGGCCACATCCCTGTATGGAGGCCTCACCCCTGCACTGAGGCCACACCCCTGCACTGAGGCCGCACCCCTGCACTGAGGCCACATCCCTGCACTGAGGCCACACCCGTGCACTGAGACCGCACTCTTGCACAGAGGCGGAATCCCTGTATGGAGGCCTCACCCCTGCACTGAGGCCGCACCCCTGCACTGAGGCCGCACCCCTGCACTGAGGCCACACCCCTGCACTTAGGCCACACTCTTGCACAGTGGCCGAATCCCTGTATGGAGGCCTCACCCCTGCACTGAGGCCACACCCCTGCACGGAAGCCACACCCCTGCACGGAGTCCGGGCTCCTTGGCCGTTGGTAAACCTTGCTCAGGTGACTCCTGCCAGCCACGTGCGGTGTGGAGAGCCCAGCCCTCAGCACAGCGTCACTAATGTCTGTTCCTTCAGGCACTTCTTTCTCATGGTGTACTGAGGAGAGACACGCCTGAAACCAGGATGGGAGTGACAGGCACGCTGATTAGGGCACCGCACAGGCTGGAGCAGAGGGACAGGAAGGGCGCTCTGGGCAAGGTGACCCTGGAACGGAACCCTGCGGGATGCGTAGGGGTTTCCCAGGCCTGGGGAGGGACCTGTGCGAAGGCCAGACCGGGCTGCAGTTGTGGGGTCTGCAGGAGTGATGCAGAGGGCTGTGGGGTGGGCTGAGGCAAGAGACGGTGTTCACGGCCGCTGGCTTTGTGGGCAAAGGCTGCAGGAAGACCAGACAGAACAGGCTGTGTGGTTCCCGGGCACACCCGCTCGCCTGCCTCCTCCAGGCCAGGAGCTCCCTCCGCCTTGGGAGGGATGTGCGCGCAGGCCTCCAGCGAGCAGCGCAGTGGCAGGAAGCCCACGGGGGACCCAGCTCCAGCACCCCCAGCCCTTCCCGCTCCGACGCCCTGGGGAGGGGCCTGGCCACCGCCTTCTGACAGGGCCACGGGAATCCTGATGCCTGCCCAAGGTGGAGAACTAAAGAGTTTTTTGTTTGTTTGTTTGTTTAGATGGAGTTTTATGCAATGGCTCAATCTTGGCTCACCGCAATCTCTGCCTCCCAGGCTCAAGCGATTCTCCCGCCTCAGCCTCCTAAAGAGCGCGGTGACAAGCGTGTGCCACCACACCCGGCTAATTTGTATTTTTAGTAGAGATGAGGTTTCTCCATGTTGGCCAGGCTGATCTCAAACTCCTGATCTCAGGTGATCCGCCTGCCTTGGCCTCCCAAAGTGCTAGGATTACAGGCGTGAGCCACTGGGCCTGGACCTAAAGAGATTTTTTAAAATGTGGAAGAGGATAAATTCGGACAGTGAACAGGGAGTGAGGGTGGGCCCAGGCGTTTCACCCACCACGTGGGTGGCATGCCTACCTCCGGGCTGGGAGCGGTCTGAAGCTTGGGAGACCCACCGCCACTGAGTGTGAGAGTGGAGCCTGCAGGTGCAGGAGGGAGCTGGGTGGAGCTGGGGATGGAGCTGTGGGGCCAACTGAGGCACGGCCAAGTGGGGTGGTCACCAAGCAGGGAGGGGGCCGCCAGGGCTCTGTGCCCCTTGAAACAGGTCTCAGGTAGCAAACTGCCTATCGGGGGAAACTGGGAAGCCATGTCCCATTGCCACCACACAGCCGCCTGCAGTGAATCCAAAAGGCCTGCACGCCACCTTTTATGTTAACAGAAATGTCTGGCTTTTTCCCCTAGCCATTTTTTTTTTTTCTTTTTTGAGACAGAATCTCATTCTATTTCCCAGGCTGGAGTGATTCCCCTACCTCAGCCTCCAGAGTAGTTGGGATTATAGGCACGTGTTACCACCCCCAGAAGATTTCTGTATTTTTAATAGAGATGGGGTTTCACCATGTTGCCCAGGCTGGTCTCGAACTCCTGACCTCCGGTGATCCACCCACTTCAACCTCCCAAAGTGCTGGGATCACAGGCGTGAGCCGTTGTGCGCCTGGACGCCTGCCTTCTTCCTGGACCTTCTGGAGTGATCTTTTTATTTCTGCTCAAAAGACTCAGTCCCTGTCACGTCAGGAGATGGTTCCCGCACGCCTTCCTTCACTCAGCACTGCCTCGACGCACACCTCCTGCTCGTCTTTCCACCTGCTTGCCCATCTCTCCTCTCCTACCTCGCTCCTGGCCCTTGATCCTGGCCCTCCCGCCCTGCCGACACATCTGTTCTCAGCCCCGCTCACCTCCTCAAGCACCACGAAACCCACCCATCTGCTTAAGGCTGTCGTCCGTCCCATCTCCCTGAAAGATCAGCTCCACGAGCTCAGGAGTTCTGTCTGTTGCGTGGTTTCGTTCCTCTCAGTAGCACGCTTCCCTTCATCATTACGTTGGACTCGACCTAACGTGGAGATCACTTTATGCCCCGGATGTGCAGTGAGAGGTGATGTCTCAGACGTTCCTGATGATAGAATTTGGGTTTAAAATTCATGTCTAATCCGTAGGATTATGATCAAGCTTTATCTTGTAAAACCTGTGGGTGGCGCTGGTGAAGAGATGGAAGTGTGGAAAAAGCAGACAAGGGCAAGTAATTGCTATTTTTTATTTTGCCACTCAAAATAAAACACCAGAAGAAAATCTTAAGTGATAACAACACAGCATCAGGGGAAAGAGAACCAGAAGAGCTGACTCTGCGTAAATCGGGCTAAGATTATCATCCATCATCTTAAGGTTGGACTTGAGATTACAACGCGCAGACACGCCCGGGAGGCTCTCAGGAACGCTCGATGTCATCCCGGGAGGCTGCGGCGGGGCCGTCCGGGAGGCTGTCGAGGGCCCCGGCCTCTGCAAAGGAAAGAGCCACACTTGAGCAGCCGGTTCTGAATGCGCACACGAGAGAACGACGGCCGTGACGCGTACTGCGGGAAGATTTGAACGGGATCGAACCCAGGACTGGGTACAGCATTCTGCACTTCTCACTCTGTAACGATTTAACTCCCACACTCAGTAAGCATCTAACCCTGTCAGACGTTTCCATTCAGGCTTTAAAGAGGTATAATTCCCATCGGAAGCCGGGCACGGTGGCTCAAGCCTGTAATCCCAGCACTTTGGGAGGCTGAGGCGGGTGGATCACGAGGTCGAGAGATCGAGACCATCCTGGTCAACATGGTGAAACCCCGTCTCTACTAAAAATACAAAACATTAGCTGGGCATGGTGGCGCGTGCCTGTAATCCCAGCTACTCAGGAGGCTGAGGCAGGAGAATTGCCTGAACCCAGGAGGCGGAGGTTGCGGTGAGCCGAGATCGCACCATTGCACTCCAGCCTGGGTGACAAGAGCGAAACTCCGTCTCAAAAATAAAAATAAAAAAAAAATAAAAAATAATTCCCATCTGAATAACGAAAGTTGGTGTCTCCTAAGGAAATCATTTCCATGTTACAAAGTTAAAAACAAAAATCTGGCAGAGTCCATCTGCCGCTTGCAGAAAAAGTCATCCCAGCTTTCTCCCAGAGGCTCCGACGCTGGGAACTTGGCCACCCAGTTTTGGAATTTCTAGCGAACAGCGACTTTTCTAAGACCTTCTCTGTCAGTCTCCCTGCCCTCGCCTCACACCTCTCCCCTCTCCCCCGGCTCTTCCCGTCACCACCCGTAGAGCCCCATAACTGCAAATGAAAAGCATCCTGATCCAAAACGAACCCAAGAATCAGCCTTGATTTTCCAAACTGGACAAAGCTGTATTGCTCAGCTGAAGGTTTCCACTGGAGAGAAAAAGCGGTCCGCCCCTCCTTCCCACCCCGCCTCCCTGGCAGTGCTCAGAGCTCCAGGAGAAGGTCTCTGCCGGAGAGCAAAAGCAGAGCAGTCCATCCCTTCTCCCCATGCCCGCCTCCCCGTTAACCCTCAGAGCCCCGGCCGCTTTCCTGGCTCCCTCCACTGCTGCAGTGTGATATCCGATTAAGGCCAGATGCCCACCACGGAGTGAACGCCAAGCACAGTGTGTATGAGGCCTCCTCATCCCCAGGGTTTGCCGAAGACACTGGGAGCCAGGATCAGAGCCTTTCCAGTCAGGTTTCAGGGCAGCCTGCTGGCAGGAGGGCTGCACAGAGAAACACTACAGTCTAAGATATGGGCTCCTAGTAATGTCCCGTGCTTGCAAAATATGGTTGAGGGCCGGGCACCGTGGCTCATGCCTGTAATCCCAGCACTTTGGGAGGCTGAGGATGGCAGATCACTTGAGGCCAAGAGTTCAAGACCAGCCTGGCCAACAGGATGAGACCCCGCCCCTACTAAAAATACAAAAATTAGCCAGGCATGGCGGTGCGTGCCTGTTGTCCCAGCTACTCGGGAGTCTGAGGCGTGAGAATCATTGGCGCCCAGGAGGCAGAGGTTGCAGTGAGCTGAGAGGGAACCACTGCACTCCAGCCTGGGCCACAGAGTGAGACTGAAAAAGGAAAGAAGGAAGGAAGGAAGGAAGGAGAGGAGAGAGAGAGAGAAAGAAAGAAAGAAGGAAAGAGAGAGAGAGAGAGAGAGAGAGAAGAAGGGAGGAATGAAAGGAAAGAAGGTTTCCAGCAGCTCACAAAGAGCCTGCCCTGTAGTACAGGTTTGTCACCGTGTGAATAGATATGGTTCCAGTAGAGGGAGCTGCACCCTAAGGCCCACTCTTCCTGGGAGCAGCGCTGCCTGATGGACCTCACGGATGCTGGCATGCCCCTGCCGCCCTCCCAGCCCCCTGGAGCTAGCTCTAGTGTCACATGCTCTGTCATCCTGACACACAGCCAGACAAGACGTGGTTTCCAGATGGGTCATGGGCTCCTTGCCGGTGGGCCTCTACGGTTCTCTTCTCAATGGGCCTTTGATGCCTCCAGCGTGCTGAGAGGCGAATGGCGCGTTGCTGCTATCTCACGTACCTTTGAGATGCAGGAAAGACAGGAACTCAACGATTGCGTTCACAATATTGCTCTCAGCCGTGGACCTGTCAAAGCTTCCTAGAAAAGAGAAAAGACCAACACTCACGACTCGTGCAGGGGGGCTTCTGTGTCTCAGGACATCCCCTCCCTACGGAGGAGCCGGGGGCCCCAGGCCGATGATGGGATCCCAGCAGCCTGAGGCCCGGCTGTGCCTTCCAAAGCCCTCGTTCCATATGCGGAAGAGCGGAGAGAGCCAGTTCAAGGCCTCACTCTTCCTTTTTCTGCTGTTGAGACAGAGTCTTGCTCTGTTGCCCAGCCTGGAGCACAGTGTCGCGATCTCGGCTCACTGCAACCTCCACGTCCCGGGTTCAAGTGATTCTCGTGCCTCAGCCTCCCGAGTAGCTGGGATTACAGGCACGCGCCACCACACCCAGTTAATTTTTGTATTTTTAGTAAAGTCAGGGTTTTGCCGTCTTGGCCAGACTGGTCTTGAACTCCCAACCTCAGGTGATCCACCCGCCTTGGCCTCCCAAAGTGCTGGGATTACAGACGTGAGCCACCGCGCCCTGAGACCCTGCTCTCCTGGAGGCCCTGGCGCCTGGACCACCTCCCAGTCTAGAAGGACGCCTGTGGTTTGCAGGCGTTTGCAGCTGCTGACAGGTGTGATGAGGCCACACCGTCTTAGTTAGGTCGTGGTCAGGCTTGGGCTGCAGCTGTGGACAGGTGGGCGGCAGGTGCCCCGGCACCCTCTGCTGCCCCCTACACGCACCTGGGAGTTGGTGAATGAGGCGACCCCGGGCCCGGGGTGACAGTCGTCTCACCTGGTTCCACCTCATCTTCAGGTTGCATCTCCCGCTTGCTGGTGAGGCCGAGCTTGTCGCTGAATGACCTGTGGTTGCCAACGGCATCTGTTTACAGATCAGAGAGGGAAGCCTCTGGGTGTGACTGTCACACACGCCCTCCCCACACCCAAAGAAGACACAGGGATGCCTGTAGCCAACACACTCACAACCCGACTGTGAAACAGACCCTGAGGACGGTAACCAGAGGAGAGAGGGCGATTCTCCACCAGCCGAGGGAAGGGCTTGGCCGCTCACCGGTGCCGGGGCTGAAGGGAATGTAAGGATCACCGGTGGGGTAGGAGAAAGGGACCTGCCCTGTTGCAGGAGGTGCTCCCAGATCCAGAGGAGCTGACATCGGAGCTGGCACCGAGCTGGCATCAAGCTGGCACCAAGCTGGGTGCCTCCCCAGCAGGCAACAGGGGCTGCATCCTGAAAGTGTCCCAGAAAGCATAGGGGCCACTGAAGAGTTTAAGCTGTGACTGAATCTGATTTTTATTTTCACTCTGGCAGCTGTGAGCAAGATGGATGGGAGCCAGGGAGAGAGACGGAGAGACAGAGAGAATGAGACAGTCACTGAGGGAGAGAGAGGGAGAGACAGAGGGGACGAGAGGGTCACAGAGGGAGAGAGAGAGGATGAGGGGGAGGAAGAGGAGGCGCGGGAGCGTGTGCGTGTTCCTGTGTGTGTTGTGTGTGTGTGTGTGTGTTGTGTGGTGTGAAATGGGGTACTGTGACTGCAAGCAAAGAGATCCCAGAAGTCCAGGAAAGAATCTATAAGGCCTGTAAACCAAGAGGCGTGGGGTGAGGACTAGATTTGGGGTGCAGGAAAGGGGATGGGGATGTCGGCCTGGATGGACTGTGCCATCTACGAGGCAAAAGAAAATTCATTCCTATTTGCAAAGACCCTGCTCTCGGCGCTACATTTATGGAGGAATCACAGGCCGTCTCATCTCACTGCTGTGCCCTCAGCCACGGCCACGCTGCGTTCAGCAGGAGCTGGTGCAAACACACTGTTTCGGTGGCATTTTCTGGCTGACCCTAGAAACCAAAGGCACACTGGTGAGCATGTTGACAAACAGCTCATCTGGCTACAGCTGAACAGGGACGTAAACTTGGCGACAAAAATGAGTTTGTTTTCTGATTCGGGTTTAAACTTTCCTGACAAATAGATTTTTAATATTCCAAAGCACCAGGTGTCCATGTTCTTGCTGCCAGTTCCTCCTGTTTTGGGCACATAGCACACAAAGATGAGGTGCCCTCTGAGCGGCAGGGCTCAGGGTTGCAAAGGGCTGAGATCAGCCGGCCCTCAGGCAGGCCAGGCCGCTCCAGGGACAGGGAGAAGACGCGAGGGCTGTGCAGAGACCAGCAGGTCTTGCAGGGAACCGCCCGGTTGGCCTGCACGCTGCATTAGGCAGCTCTGTCATTCCCGTGTCTGTTTCTTTTCTTTTATGATGGAGTCTCGAACTGTTGCCCAGGCTGGAGTGCAGTGGCGCTATCTTGGCTCACTGCAATCTCTGCCTCCCGGGTTCAAGCAATTCTCCTGCCTCAGCCTCCCGAATAGCTGTGATTACAGGTGCCCACTCCCATGCCCAGCTAATTTTTCTATTTTTAGTACAGACGGGGTTTCACCATGTTGGTCAGCTGGTCTTGAACTCCTGACCTCGTGATCCCCCCGCCTCGGCCTCCCAAAGTGCTGGGATTACATGCGTGAGCTACCTCACCCGGCCCCCCGTGTCTGTTTCTTAAAGCCCAACTCGGGGGTCCTCCGAGTGACCCCGATGAACAAGCGTCTGCAGGAGGAGGAAGCTGTATCAGACTCTGGGGCTGAGAACTAAGGCGCTTTCCCTGGCATTTAAGAACACCACTCTCCCCAGCTGCTGCTCCGGCGGGGCTGGGACAGGCCCTGTGGGCTGTTCACCTTCCTCAGCGGGCAGAAGGCAGTACTGGGAGGTTTCTAAGGTGGATGGCGAGGGATGGAGGGTAAGGTGGCTTAGAGGAGGGAGCCACTTACCCTCTACTTCCTCCTTTAGAGGAAGGCGTGGAGGCATTGCTGCACAAACGGAGGAAGTAGAGGCCTGGGGCGGGGGCGGACACGGGAGGCACCAGCCTGCAGCATCCCATCTAGGACTAGGGCTCACCTCAGGCAGCAGGGGCCACAGCTGACACGGGTGACGCCAACAGGACAGGGAGAGGAAGGGGGAAGCCGCACAGGCTTGGGCAGGCCTGAGGGCCACCTGAACCTGGTTTTGAGGAGAGCCTGTCTGGGTGACCCTCAGGCTGTCTGGGAATTCCCTGCGGCGCTTGGAGAAAGGGAAGAGGGAGACAGAACCTGGGGTCCCCAGGGGTGCCCTGCAAGCCGAGGAGTTGTGTTTGGGGATACCCGGGGCCTGGGGAGAGACGCAGAACAGGGTCTTTAAGGGCCGCGAGGCAGGAAAGCCCAGAAGAGCTTGAGCAAAGGCCAGAGTGGGGATCTCAGCTCGGACAGGGAGGCAGAGCTGGGGCAGGAGAAGCTTCTGGAAAGAACAGTGTACAGATCAAGTGTGCAGAACAAGGAAGACGGGCGGTGAGGTCAAGAGGGAGGCTGGAGGGTCTGCCCAGCCGCGGGAGGAGGGGCAGGAGCCAGGGTATAAAGCGAGGGGGCAGGTGGGGTCGGGAGTGCGGGAGGCCATGCCGTCAGTCACTTACGTGGGCCCAGCAGGTAGCCCGCGCTGTTCAGGGTCCAGCCTCGTTTTGCCTTGGCCTTGAGCGGGAGAGAAGGAGGTCAGATGCCAGGGCTGTGCCTGGAGCCGGTACTAAGTGGGCACCCAGGCTTTCCCGGCAGGGCATAGGACTTAGAACAATGCAGGTCCTTTCGGAAGCCTCGCGAAATTCCGGGTTTACCCCTACGCAGGCTCTATGTGACGTGAACATGGGACCACTTGATTTACAAACTGCTTCGCTTCTGGGCCGGAGCCCGTGCGCGCTCAGCGCGCTGCACCTGCTCTCAGTGACGCCGAGGCCCCGCCGGTGGCTCCTCGCCCTCCGTTCTAAGGGAGCGCCGCGGAACGCACGAGCCTCTCGCTTTCCCGAGGCGCTGACCCAGAGCGCGGCGCTCTCCCGGTGGCCTAGTTCTAGCCCGGGGCTGCTGATGCGCTCGGAGAAGCACGCGGCGGATTCCCAGGGAGCCCCGGACCCTTCCCGAGACGCCTGCAGCCAGAAGAGCTCCCGCACGAGCCTTTCCACCCCCGTCCCTGCGGGCAGGGCGGAGGCAACCTCCTCCAGGAAGCCCTCCGCGCCCGCCCCGCACTTACCGGCGACCAGAGCCCCGCAGAGGCAGAAAGGGCGGCGGCAAGGAGGAGGGAGGCGAGCAGGAGGGCGCTTCCTCGGGCCATCTGGAAGGGAAGGGCAGGGCGGGCCGGTGGGACCACGGCGTGGGCTGCGCCCGAGGCGTGGGTGCCGGGGGCTGCGGGGCAGAGCGGCAGCGGCGGCCGGGCTGGGGCCCCTGGCGGGATCGTCCCGGGACTAGGAGAGCCAAGGGGAGGCCTCCCGGGGCGCGGGTACCTTGAGCTGCAGCTGCGCTCGGGGCCGGGCGTCGGGGTCCCGGGGCGGCGGCGGGCCGGGGCGGCGGGTCCGGACGGCGGGCGATCTCTGTCGGCTCCGGGGCGCTCACTGCATGGCAGAGCCGGCAGCGGGGGCGGGCGGGGCGGGCGGGTCCCTCGACGTGTCCGCGGTTCCGAGTGGCCACCGGCACCGCCGCCGCTGCTATTTATGCGGCTCGCCCCGGAGCCGCCTGGAGCCGCGTCACGGACTCAGCACCCGTCCCCCCCGCCCTCGCCGAGCCCCGGCGCGGGGGCGGGAGTGACCGGAGCTCCGGTCCTCTGGGCCATCACAGGCGGGGGCGGAGGAGAAGCCCCCTCACCCCGCGGGAGACTCCCCCAAATCCGCGGAGATACCCCCCGAAAGACAGAGCCCCTCTTACCCCGCGGGAGACTCCCCCAAATCCGCGGAGAGACCCCTCGAAAGACAGAGTCCCCCTCACCCCGCGGGAGAGACCCCCAAATCCGCAGAGAGAGAGCCCCTCTCACCCTTCGGGAGAGATTCCCCCAAATCCGCGGAGAGACCCCCCCTAACGCGGCGGGAAAGACCCCCAATCCCAAAACAGAGCCCCATCGCCCCGCGGGAGAGCCCCCAGATCCGCGGCCCAGCTCGTCGCTGCAGCGGAGCGCGCTGTCCCCACTGCTCCGCCCGGGGTCCCAGCCCCAGAGCGAGCCTGACCCCCCAACAACGTCCCGCACCCAGGTCCTCGGCACTGCAGACCCGAGAGGGCTGACGGGCAGGGACGACCCCTCATCCACGCCAGCCCCAGCCAGGAGGTCCTGGGGCGCTCGGGGCGGGGCGGGGGTGACCACCTGGTCCTGTGCCCTGGCCGGCTTGTCCTGGGGCTGGAGCGAAGGTTCGGGCCTCGGGAGCGGGGAGCCGTGGATGGCCCAGAGCGCAGGAGCGCCCCCAGCTCCCTGTGCCCGGCCACCTCCCTCTTGTTTTGCTAAAAGGGCGCTGTGGGTCCCGGGGCGGCTTGGCCATCCCCGCGTGGGAGCTGTGGGACGGTCGTACGCCCACGGCCACCAGCTCAGAAGCTCGGCCTCTTGGCGCCTCCCTGGCTCCCTGGTCCAGTTGCAAGAGGGAACTTTGAGCAGGTGCAGGCAGTGGGCCACGGGCTGTGTCCGGAGGGAGACCAGCCCAGTCTCTCAGAGGCCGCCAAGGGTGGGCGGTGGGCAGAGCAGCAGCAAGAGGCTGTCCTTGTGCCCAAGGCAGAGAAATCCCACGGGAACAAGGCCCTGGTTGGCTTCTCCACGAACCCTTCCTGAGCTCGGGCCAAGCTCAAGAACAGCCCATCAAAGGACCCAGGCCCAGGCTGTTCCTTCACATCGTTTACAGGCATCAGGGAGGTACAAGTGTGGCACCTCCGAAGAGCACGGGGTCATCTGCTGAAAGCTCGCCTGACCTCCCCTCCCACCGGCCGGACACCACCCACGTCCTCAGCAGCAGCCCCGGGGCTAGGATCTCCCCGCCCACTGGGCTCCGTCTGAGACCGGCTGATGTCAGGTGGGACCCGGGGAGCCACAGGGTACAGGACGAGTGATGATCACGGTGGTGCCATCTGAACGTGTCTCCTACACTTTAGTCTTGTGAAGCTTTGCACAGACAGCTGGGAGCTGCCCCCAGGAGAGATCCATCAGCCTCCACGTGGCTGGGGAAGGACAATGGGTTTTCGAGAGCTCTGTGGAAGGCCGGGGCTTCTGGAGAAGCTGCAGGGCCACCGCCTGGGCGCTGAGTGTCTGCTGTGGTTTATGGGAGAAGAGGAGGCTGGGCTTGGGGAGGGGGGTCTTAGGAACAGACTCCTGGCACGACGGTGATGAGGGGTGGGGTGTTCCAAGGACAGGGTTTGACTTCTGGTCATCCCTATTTCTTGCAGCCTGGGGAGAGAGGAGAGTCAGGCGCAGGGGGTTCTAACCAGGACTCACAGGCTGAAGTGGTTTCCTGCTGGGGTTGCGGGAGTGGGAGAGAGGGAGTCGCCACAGGAGGCTGGGTCGGCTGCGGGCAGAAGGGCGGCGGACAGGCAGAGGAGCAGAGGGCAGGTTCCTGTGACCCTGCGGAGAAGATGACGTCCTCTCACGCCCCGTGTCCTTGTGTCTAGATGACCCCCGGCGGTAGTTAGAGCCATGCCCAGAACTCATGCTTTCCCGCTGAGAACAAACCCATGCCAAGGCACAGCGGGTCTTTTTTTTTTTTTTTTTGAGACGGAGTTTCGCTCTTGTTACCCAGGCTAGAGTGCAATGGCTCAATGTTGGCTCACGGCAACCTCCGCCTCCCGGGTTCAAGAGATTCTGCTACTGCAGCCTCCCGAGTAGCTGGGAGCACGCACCACCACGCCTGGCTAATTTTTTTTTTTTTTTTTTTTTTTTGAGACGGAGTTTCGCTCTTGTTACCCAGGCTGGAGTGCAATGGCGCGATCTCGGCTCACCGCAACCTCCGCCTCCTGGGTTCAGGCAATTCTCCTGCCTCAGCCTCCTGAGTAGCTGGGATTACAGGCACGCGCCACCATGCCCAGCTAATTTTTTGTATTTTTAGTAGAGACGGGGTTTCACCATGTTGACCAGGATGGTCTCGATCTCTTGACCTCGTGATCCACCCGCCTCGGCCTCCCAAAGTGCTGGGATTACAGGCTTGAGCCACCGCGCCCAGCCTAAGCACAGCGGTTCTTAGTCCATTTCAACCTTCTCCTTTCTTCCAGGTTCAGCCCCTCCCCCATCCTGCCAGAGCTTGACGATACACATTTTCTCTCTTTACTTTGTCACAGAGCTTCTTAGTCTGTTTAAAGGAGGGGAAACTCTAAACCTAAATCCTCGAGACGGATTCAAAAAGACAGTCCGTGCATCCGTATGTGGTGGGCTGGCATTTGAGGTTCGGTCCCCTGCCACTGTCTTCATTTGGGCCTATGTACTCGTTCTGTTTCCCTTTCTGCTTTCAAAGAAACTTCAGGCGGGGTGTGGCGGCTCACGCCTATAATCCCAGCGCTTTGAGGCCAAGGTGAGTGGATGGATCACTTGAGCCCAGGAGTTCAAGACCAGTCGGGGCAACATAGCAAGATCTCATCTCTATCAAAAAAAAAAAAAAAAAAAAAAAAAAAAAAAAAAAAATCGGCCGGGCGCGGTGGCTCAAGCCTGTAATCCCAGCACTTTGGGAGGCCGAGGAGGGTGGATCACGAGGTCAAGAGATCGAGACCATCCTGGTCAACAAGGTGAAACCCCGTCTCTACTAAAAAAAAAAAAAAATACAAAAAATTAGCTGGGCATGGTGGTGTGTGCCTGTAATCCCAGCTACTCAGGAGGCTGAGGCAGGAGAATTGCCTGAACCCAGGAGGCGGAGGTTGCGGTGAGCTGAGATCGCGCCATTGCACTCCAGCCTGGGTAACAAGAGCGAAACTCCGTCTCAAAAAAAAAAAAAAAAAAAAAAAAAAAAATCAGCCGGGCATGGTGGCATGCACCTGTAGTCCCAACTACTCAGCTTAGGAGGCTGAAGTGGGAGGATCACCTGAGCCCAGAGTTTGAGACTGCAGTGAGCCGTGATCAAGCCCTCACTTCAGCATGGGCAATGGAGCAAGGCTGTAGGGGCGGGGAAGAGAGAGAGAAGGAGGGAGGGAGGGAGGGATGGGGAGAAAGGAAAGGAGGAAGGGAGGGAGGAAGGGAGGGAGGAGAGAGAAAGAGAAAGAAAGAGAAAGAAAAGAAAGGAAAAGAAACTTCAGGGTTGGCTGTCTGGTAAGAGTCTCCTTATTAAAAAGACATTAAGCCACTGGAAGCAAATCTCCACGTGTATTCTGAATCCATTTAGGAAAGCCGCATTGAATAATAGACACACGTATTCAAAACGAACATGCCCGTGCCCGCTTCCTCCAGGCTCCTAAGCTCTTTTGCCCACTATCTTGCTTCTCGCTTAGTCTGGGAGTGGGTCTCTGTGTAAATCCCGGCGGGGACCCCGGCCCGGAAGCGCGGTGACCACCGGAAGGCTCCAAACTGCCAAAGCAGAGGCTGGAGGCGTGCTGGGGTTTCCTGAGGTCGGCAGATTCCTCCCGACAAATGAGGCCAGCACACCTGGGATGACAGACACCTGTGTCCCGGCACAAGCCGTGCGGAGCCACGGCCCGTGTGCTAATGGCTCTTTGTTCAGTAATGACCCAATGGCGGTCGCTGTCAACCTGTCATCTTGAAGACAGCCAGTGTTCGGCAAAGTGGGTCACCATTAGAGTAATGGAAGTCAAGCCGAAAGCCTGCTGTGCCTCGCCGCCTTCCAGCCGGCCCGTCTTCCCTGAGAAGCCCTGTCCAGCGTCGGGAAAACCTACCCTGAAGCTGAGGTCCCGAGCAGGAGTCAAGGGTCGCCTGGGCCGTGGCCACTCAGCTCCAGCAGCGAAGCCACGGTGGTGAAATCAGCAGCAGGGTCCCTGCCCTCACGAGTTACACTCTCACAGAGACCCAAATCCAGTTGGCCCTCTGGACCTGCGGGTTCCCTAGCCGCGGGTTCAACCCGCTGTGGACCGGGTCCTCTGGGTGCGCCTAGGATGAATTTGTCTGTACTGAACACGTCCACATGTTTTTCTGTGTCGTCATTTCCTGAACAATACGGTATACCAACGATTTATCTAGCATTTACATTGTACTCAGTATTATAAGTAATCGAGAGATGATTTAAAGCATACGGGGGTCCGGGCACTGTGGCTCATGACTGTAATGACAACACTTTGGGAAGCTGAGGCAGGCAGATCCAGACATGAGGTCAGGAGTTCGAGACCAGCCTGGCCAAATGCAAAACCCGGTTTCTACTAAATGTACAGCAAATTAGCCAGGCGTGGTGGCGGACGCCTGTCATCCCAGCTACTCGGGATGCTGCGGCAGGAGAATCACTTGAACACTTGAACCTGCGAGGCGGAGGTTGCAGTGAGCTGAGGTTGCACCCCTGCCCTCCGGCCTCTGGGTGACAGAGTGAGACTCTGTTTCAAAAATAAGAAAATAAAATATAAAAAATAAAGCCTATGGGAGGATGTGCG